GATAAGAATGATAATATTATTTAAGGGACTCATCAAAACTCATCTTCAACACCTCTATGAACTGCAGTGCCTGACACTGTAATCCCCAACTGCCTCAAGTGTGCCATATGCAATGGATAATTTAGTTTTTATCCTAACAATATCAAAAATCAAAAATATGTTTCACTTCTCCGATAACTCTCGGTAGCCTTTCCAATTTGCCGGGACCATGTTCTTGTGTGACCCCATGAATGAAGTGAGCAGTCTTGCCGGCCTGTCCGAGTGCCACAGGTTAACACACTCTCTCAGCTTCTCCAGAGCAGTGTGCCAGTTACCAACAATGTAGCTGTCCACAGCTGCCTCAAACATGTTCTTGTAATCCGCATACAAGGCCTTAAGGTCGTTTTGAAACATTGGCAAGTCATACGTGTACAGAGTCAAGGGATCCGCACTGCCCTTGACGGTCACCCTGTCCAGCTTCCGGCAGCAATCGCGAAGGCTACTCTTTGTAAGGTTTGCAATCACTGTTTCTGATATCAAGATCATTACTCCATATTGCTTGGTCGCCGCTTCCAGCCTAGATGCCATGTTGACATGGGGAGACAAATACGACGGGTCCACTTTGTGCGATGAGCCGATGGCTCCTTCGATGGCCCACCCAACATGAAGGCCAAAACCCATCTTGATTGTGTATCCTAGGTGAAAACAATGATTCCACTTATCTTTACTGCAAGGAAGGACCATTATGAGACGTACCTGGCATCCGCTGCTGGATGGCCGGATGCATCGCATATTCGTGCAATACTTCAGACGATTCTAAAGCTTGAATGACATCCAGAAATGATATCAGTGCCCTGTCCGCAAACGAAGAACCTTTTGACTGGAAACCAGAAAATACATTCCTGACTGGAAAGAGCAGAAAGAGGACATTCCACCTTTTGTGCACCGTCGGACATGGTCTTTTTCCATACGACTAGAAAGGCATCGCCCACATTCTTGTTTGGAAACCCATTGTGCATAATAGCCTTGCTATGTACTACATCCGCTATTTTATTCACAAACATCATAACATCTTCTTGCAGGCACTCAGTCGCGTCAGTGAAGTTCCTGATGTCACAAAAGCCAAAACAGGCACGTATCTTCTTACCTGGAACCATGGCTGTGCACAGAAGGATGACAAATGATCAAGGTATAGAAAGGGCCAACTCACGATTAAATTCGGCTCCCTTAAGGTTGACGGAAAGAATGTCCATTCCAGCATCCCCAAGAGCCACTTTGCTCAGGCTTGCGATCTTCACCAAGGCTCCCTCAAGCATTCTCGTTTCCATGACCTGTCATTGAAATCTATTAGCCAGGAACCTCTAATTAGCAAACGACCTTTCCTGATTTTCCCCTGGACTTTCGGGAAATAGACTTCCCCACGAATGCACCTGGGTTGTCTGCAAGCTCCTTGATAAAGTTTACCATTCTTTCAATGGGCTGAAATGCTCCTGTAAATAACAGATCTGAGTGAGCTTAACACGCACCTGAACCAATAAATTGTTGGTATCCCAGCTTAAAAGGAACGATAAAGCAGACAAGATGCACAAAATAAGCAACGTCAGCCCCATCTGCGCCACCCAATGTTTCAAGCTACTGGATACGAACAAGAAACCAGTACTTACGTTTAGTACGTGGTTTTTCCGGCTTCGCTTACGAATCGAATAAAATGCCTCGCAGCGTCTAGAGTCACTCTTAACCTTGATAAGTTCTTCATCTCGATACTTAGATGTCACATCCGACTTTGCATCACGACCTGCCTCAATGGGCGGAACCACTTGAATAAAAGGATCGCCTTCAGAAAACTCGTACCCGCTGCAATAGCCTTGGGCACATCCATCTCTACATCCCAAGTAGATAATTGCGTAGTCATGCTGGTTGTTGAACTGGTTCAAATTTATAAGGCTGGTGTTAAACCTCAGTGTGTACAGGGGACTGGAGTCAAGTGCAGCGAGAGCCAGCGTGGGAGCGAGGTCATCAGGGAGCTGGTAAAAATATGGTAATGCTATGGCTAAAATGAGGATGCCAAGAACAAGCCTCTGAGATTGCAAGTCTGATAGTCTCAACCATAGATAACTAGGCTTCGAAGACATAAACTGATTTGAAGAATCTTCGGTCGTCTCTTTATCGTCTGTGGCCTTGGACTCTAAAGGGCGAATGCAGTGGTAAAATACAGCCTATACAGACGGATTACAAACGTCTGTGTCAGCCAATCTATGCATACCTTTGCTAGCCGAGCAATCAGGAAAGCGCTTGGAACCTTCGCGCTCCGGTTTTGAAGCTTTTTTGCAAGGCGACTTAGAGACTCTGCTGCTTTCCAGACTCTAGCAACAATGAGGTTCTGCCTAATGAGATCAAACATATATGGAAGTAGAGTAAGGCTTCCAACGAGATCGAGCCTTACTAACAATGGCATGTTAGTACAAACGATGTCCAAATATGACGAGAAATCACATACCTACCAAAAGGCGAAGCTGAAAAGATAGGCTGGCTTTAGTACTGACAGTGCAACAAGGTCAAGCAAGAAGAGGAACAGACAGATGACGTAAACCACATTCACGAACGTGTCTAATGACTTCGGTAGAAATGCCCTGCTAAAATCATTTAAGAAGAGCGCAATCAGTGTAGCAGGAATGGCCACAAAGTGCGCCCAAACCCTGCTGTCCAGCACTTGACTGACCCTGATGGCTACGCCACGCGCACGAAGCCTTGTGAAAAATCCCACAGGTCCTTTGTCAACGTCAATACGATCCAAAGATAACGATGTTTCATGTCTGTAGTCCATTTCGTCATTTATAGTACCAGCAAGTGAAGAGCCTCTCTCACTTGGCACTGTTTGTCCAGGACCTAGCTGTAGCGATCCAATGCTTCCGGAAGAATGAGACCTTCTTGTGGATGGGACTAAATTGACTCTCAGTGAAGAGTCCCGTAGAGTAGTGTTCCACGCCAATTCTGATGCTAACGTATTCACGTCCCTGCCCAGCGGAGCTCCAAAGAGGAGGCTCAGGGGCCTTTCATTCCCAGGACTCGTGTGCGTTGTCACGCTAGCCTTTTTAATCTCAGAAACCTTGTGGCCTTCGGAGGATTGAGCGGACTCTGGCATCGTTGATTGCCCTGTCTGTGACGACCTAGCTCCTGACTTCGACGTCGATTGCCTCTGCTGCTCGTCGTCACCTTCAATGGGAAAAAAGGAACCAAGTATAACTTGCACTTCCTGCATGGCAATGGATGTGATAGCATAATTCCCAACAGAATTATAACCTGTTCTATCGGTCCAGCTGTTGAAAAAGACATCCAGGACTCCCGATTCGAAGCAAGATTTGGTAAAACATTGTTTTTCAGCTTTGGTAATACTCGTGCTACAGCTTCGTACATTGGTATTGAAAAGGCGTCAATGCAGCCAAGTGTCATCGACCTGTCAGAAGCTGCAAACGTCATTTATTGGCAAAATACGCAAGAAAGGTTATCCCTACTGTAAAGAGTCTGGATCGTTCCTGTTCATATTTCTTGATATTTCCATTCCTAACCTCCTTTCTACGTCCCCTTGTCTAAACCATTCTAGAAGCAGCAAAGCAGCCCACTTCTTGGAGAGTGGATAAGGTCTGATAGTGTTGCTAATATCTGAACATTTCATAATCACTTTCATAAGAAGCAGAACATCGTCGCTGCTCCTGTGTTCTTTCGTCACTTGAGGAAACACCAATGCTGGTTCTTCTTGTTGCTCCTCCATTTCAAATATCCCTGTAACCTTGCACGGGACCTTTTTGGGCGGTGGAGGTGGCTGGTACTCATAACGAGAAGAAGCATGGAATGAGCGTACTTCCTTGCTTCTTAAACTGAAGCTCTGAACAACAGCACCATGGTAAGCCATGTCCGTTGCAAGAATACAAGACACAATAAGCTTACGAATGTGTCTTTGTTCTGAGTCAGGAAATATTCCTAGAATGTTCATGGACTCGTACCCCTATGCAGAAAAATCACATCTTTATTAGGAGAAAAAGAAATGCTTTATACCGTCAGTGCCTTCACCGTGATCGAAGCATGATGATTTTCTAATACAGATAAGTCATTGTATCGAATAGCAAGAGGATCATTACAAGCAACAAGAAAAGAGTTTGTAAGCCCTGGATGATCAACATCGTGACACAATGCACCTATGCAAAGAGCAAGCTTTTCAAGTTCGTTAAACTTCTCATCCGCTCCTCCTAATTTAAGAAACAAATACCTGGTAATCAACCAGAGAAACTTTAGTACGACAGCTTCTGAGCGCTTACATAGCATGTAGGACATCGCACGCATGCCGGAAGTTGTGAAATGGAACATGTGCGCGATATTGTGCCATCATCTGTGTAGAGAGGAGAACAAGGGAAGGAGCGCCCAATCGAGAACAAGAAAAAGTATTCGACACCTACACACTCAATGAAAGCTTTTAATTTCTGGACGTCCAGAGGTAAAGTCGTTAACAGGCCCAGGTTTACAAATATTCTTTCTGCCATCTGCGCAAGGTTAAATCTTTTGAGGCGCAAAGGGACAGTATTGACAGACCTTCGGCAGGTCCTCAGTTGCAACCTTGAAAATATCGAAAGACCAGGAATCCAGCTCCTGCCACAGGCCTTCTAGTTCATTACGCCCCACCACATCCACTTTTGCAGCCAGAACCTCTTCCTGTATCAATAGACTGTGCCTTGGCTTGGAGATCCTTATAATCGACGGTCTCTTGTGCTCCTGCCATTACCACACTACTCTGAGGGAATGCTCTTGACGTAAGAGAGGCACTTACCATATAAGAGGAGTCTTTGCTTTAGGAAAAGATTCCAACTGACCCGCCTTTCTAAAGACCGTTGGATATCAAGCCGGACGACTTAGAGTGAGGAGGGGATAATGGGCGGGATATTCGTTCCTTGGCACACTTCTTGAGCCTTGCTGCCTGAGCTCTTGATTCAGTGATGTTTTGCAAATGCAAACAGAGCTAGGCCTAGGGCAGCCATGGCAACAGGAGATGTTGAAGGAAACCTAGAGCGACTGAAGGCGCAGCTCCGATCTGTTTCCTACCCACACACAATCGACAACCAAGGGTACGGTCATATTACAAGATGATTTGGAGTCTCATGCTTTTGTTGCAGCCTGAGAATGGGACTTCCATCGGCTGTTCTTCCACTACTCCATCACGCGCTGTTAGGTTATTCCAGGCATGTTTTCAGGTATCTCTCAACGAATGGCTATGAATTATACGCGAAAAGTGACCTGGTGCGACCAAGCAAAAGCTAGAGATAGTACACTACTAATTTTTGCTAACAGAGATTCATAGAGTGCATCTTGAAGTTTCTCCGGACTGAGTTTGGATATAGATGTTCCTTGACGCTGGCACAGGTAACAATGACATGGGACATCAAGACGCACTTGACCTCTTCGCTGCTAGATATTCTCGAAAGGTTTCTCAGAAAGAAAGATGATATTTGTCCATGATGTCGTCCAGGTATGTTTAACTCCTTGTGACGCTTATCTTGAATAGAATATGAGCAGTGCTGCAAAAGGAAGCATAATGAGTTGTTAAAAGAGTCCCGACGGGCAGGTGTAACTAAAAAGGTATTTTATGCATTATCAATTGTCACTATTCTCTTGTATTAGTCAGAATCTGTCATGTCCTCGAGGCATAAAAGGATCTCCAGAAATGAAGAGGTCAATGAGGTGTTTCTGTTTTCTTTTCTTTACTTTATCAGTCCTATTCACGTTTTAGCTCCAGGAACGCAAAAGTCCGTCTCTTAGAATCAAGACCACCTCATCTCCAAGATGCAAGAATAAATTGCCGTCTATAAGTACAATGTGTAAGCTCGCCATCGAGGTATGTTTTCACTCTCAAGAGTTTCTCCCTATCTCCTGCATGTGACAGCTCTCTCCGACACCTCGCCTAAATTTCGAGCAGCCAGGCATACAGGTCGACCACGACGAGGTTAATAACAAATTAGGTGTCTAAACTGTGAAGCTATTTACATCATGTGCAGATGGAAGACAGGTCGAGCCCGTGTTACATACCTGATAACGAAAAACAAGCACAAACTGATTTTCAGGTCAAATCACCAACACAGGTAAACGAAATCTTAAGGTACATTAAGGATTTACTTTGTCTAAAAATGCTAGATTGGAGGTATCGACTCGAGTCTTCCAAGAGAGCTCGATCGCGGAATAAGGAAAAGTCCAGATGCATCTCTTCCAAGAAAGATGGACACCCATAAGTCCCTGAGTTCAGAAATGACTTCGAGAAAGTGTTCTATTTCTCCATCAACGTCGGAAGATGATGAAGCAGCCCCGGTGGTTTCAATGAATGTTGCAGCCATTACTTCCTGCTATGACGAGATCAAGCTGAAAATAGTAAGTTTGATCAACGCAAGCATTTCTTTGTGCTCAACCAAGCGTCTACCAGGGCGAAATAGCCGAAAAGCTGGGGTCTCGCTTCAGCACCCTGGAAGAAAGCCTTTCAAAGACGACTCAAACATTAGAGGTAATAGAAAAGTTCAGTTGCTGTTACTAACTCCATTTACTATCACAGGCAAGATTTTGTACTTTGGAGAGCCGTATAAGACTTCTTGAGAAATCCTTTTTTCCAAAGGCAAGCCCCATATCGTATCTGCCTGAAGTTATGTTATTTTACAGGCCCGTCAGAGCCCGGAGAAAAATATACAGTTCTGCAAAAAGCATTCACCACTTTTTCGTATGTTATTTTAAAAGTTTTCATTCACCCTCTCCTGTTCTATTGACAGAATTTGAGTTGCGGTCTGGTAGAAAGGTTGACGAGCCTATCCGGGACATAAGCAATATGAACTTACGTAAGCCTTCATCTGCATTTGTACGTGGAATTAGACATCACATACTCAATCAATATCTGTTCAGGTCACCACTCTGATATGCATCCCAGCCATCGAGTAAGCTGCATTGACATTTTTGTCTTTCACCACAACATGTGATTACAGGCTAACTTGACGACACAACAACTAATTGATAGTATCAAAGCCCGTTGTCAAAAGACAAAGGAGGTAACTTTAATGTTTATGTTTTCATAAAAAGATCTTTCACTGCGTTTGCAGCTTTTGAGCGGAATTTATTAAGAGGCTAGCCATAACAAGCAAATGCATCATTCGAACTCATATTGGTCGACCAAGAGGGTGAGGATTTCCAGAGAGAAACTGGTACCTAGGGCCACATAAAACATTGATCGATTTAATGGTTGTTTTAAAGGGAATGGAGGGCCCAACCAAACTCACTAAATGAAAAGATTAAATTAGTTTATTTAAGGAAATAGACTTTGTAGGTGTAATACTTACGAATACTTCGGAATGCTTTATGTGGATGTTTCCTGATTATAAGATGCATTACTAGCAACGTCCTTGTACGTCTTGGCAAAAGACTACACAGATTCTGGCTTGATCTATCGGTTCTCACTCTGATGGTCATCCCTCTCAAGTAAAGTTGAGCCTGACATTAGTGTTGCTTCAATCCCCAAGATTGGATCTTATAAGTATTGACGTTATGGTAATTTATATTTGCTCTCGAGATATATTTCTTAAAGCTGACTGTGGCATGTAAGTTTCAGAGAGCTTTACATGTATCATCTTGCCCTCATTGCTTTATAAGAACCCCACCAGAAGTGCATATTATGCAGACAACAATCTACAATCATACTTAATTCAACATTTGTACGATGAGAAGTGCCATTCTACCTAGTGCTAATGAGCTTTGTGCAACGCTGAGCCAGTCTTGCCGAGCATTCCAAATCTGAAAACAAAAAAAAGTTCATTCTTAAGAGGGAAGCAAGATATATTAACACACCTGAATTATAATGGTGCTTGGCAGGAAGCCGCAGTAGAATGTGGTATCATGGAATGTCATCAGTGGACTGAAGAGATGAAGGGGTGTTTGATGCGATGCCAGAGCGAGACATTGCATGCAATATTAGACTAGCTTGGATTCAGGCGCATGGAGCTGATGGGAACTTGAACGACCTACAGCAGAATGCCACAGCAGGATGTGGTAGCTTGCATCCCTATATATGGTCACAGCCTACATGATCATGATAACACTGAAGCAGTGAAAGAGCTCCTGCTCAATTGGTAAGCATTGAGTTTTTCAAAGGGATTGATTGTGGTTTGATGCAGAGAACAAGAATGGGAGTTGTCAATTTATGATCGGTGCACCTTCTGCTGGACATGGACGACCATTCCACCTTGGTGTCTCCTGATGGTATGTGTGTGGCACTAGATCCGAATGTACAGGTTTCCAGCGTGCTTGGGTTCAACACGTACAATGAGGGAGAAATCAGCTAACTCTTGCAGGTTTTTTTCTTTTTATTCCCAATAATCAGTTTGAAGCCAAGAGTCGTCCCACTTAGACACTCATGGGGGAGTGCTTCGTTTCTTTCTATGGCTCATTTTCGCTGTAGGGCTCTTTGCTTCACCCAGTGAGTCGATTAACACCACCATAGCAGCAAGACAAGATGATGGAGTGCATCTCCATCCACATTGGCCAAGCAGGGTCCAATGCTTGCTGGGAGCTCTGGAGCATGGAATCCAGCTACTTAAAATACTCCCAATTTATGAGGCTTGCTTGTTTTGAGCGAGCCCTGCTGTGCTCAGCCAGATGGCCAAATGCCGACTGACAGAATTAGCGGACGTGACGACGCCTTCAACACTTTCTTCAGCGAGACAGGTGCGGGCAAGCACGTACCGCGCTCGTTGTTCCTCGACTTGGAACCCACGGTGATAGAAGTGAGGACTGGTATACAGTCAACTCTTCCACCCGAGCAACTTATCAGTGGCAAGGAAGATGCCGCTAGTAATTTCGCCCGTGGCCATTACTCAAGTGAGTGCCCGACAACAAGGCTATCGTCGATAACGTGTGTCGGACCGTGTAACGGAGATCGTCGACCTGTGCCTGGACCGAAATTCGGACCGTATCAGGAAGCTTGCAGACAATTGAAGGCTTTCTTATCTTCAACGCCGTGGGGCTCCGGAGCGCCTCTCGGTTGACTACGGCAAGAAGTCGAATCTTGACTTTACGGTCTAGCCGTCGCCTCTAGTGTCCACGGCTGTTGTTGTGGAGCCCTACAACAGCGTGCCCTCCACCCGTTCCCTGCTGGAGCACACCGACGTTGGCCATCTACAACAGCTGCCGCCGCTCACTCGGCATCACCTACACCAAACTCAACAGGCTCGTGCCACAGGTATGCTTGTTTGTGTGCGTGTGTGCGTGTGACGATCAGGTGATATCGTCCCTGACGACGTTGCTCCGCTTCGATGGTGCCCGACATTACAGAGTTCCAGACCAACTTGGTGCCTTATCCCCGGATTCATCCTCGTACGCTCCAGTCATATCCGCAGAAAAGGCTTACGACGAGCAGCTGTCCGTGTCCGAGATAACGGGTACGGCGTTCGAGCCCGCGTCCATGATGGCCAAGTGCCCCCGTCACGGCAAGTACATGGCCTGCTGCCTCATGTACCGAGGTGACGTGGTCCCTAAGAACCATCAAGACCCATCAGTTTGTTGATTGGTGTCCCACAGGCTTCAAGTCTGGCATCAACTACCAGCCACCAACAGTTGTTCCCGGGGGCGAGTCCAAAGAGCCGTCTGCATGATGTCTAACGCAGTAGTCTTCTCCAGAATTGATCACAAGTTTGATCTCATGTACGCCAAGCGCGCCTACGTCCGGGAAGGCATGGAAGAGGGAGAATTCTCTGAAGCCCGGGAGGACCTTGCGGCACTCACGAAGAAGTTGGTGCAGAGTCCACTGAAGGGGAAGGCGAGAAGGAAGGAGAGGATTGAACAACAGAACGCAGGCGCTGTAATTTTGACGACACGGATAAAAGATGCATTCACCGCCTGTATGTCTGTGTGTCTGCGTCGTGTGTGTGCAAACCTGCAGGTGGGAGAACATGGCATGGAACAGGTCTCACAGGAGATTTGTATCCTGGGCACAGTAACTCGTCAAGTTCGCTCTAGTTATATAGCCGTTTACCCCTGCAATCCGGATCATGACATTTTTGATAGTAGCTTGCTCGTCGTAAGTTGACGATGTACATGACTGCATAGAGTGGTTGACGCGTCAACAAAAGAAAGAACAAGACACACAATCATACCGTTGTTGCTCTTGTGCTGCCTTCCCACTCGCTCGCAGAAACGGTTGCCCGAAATATTATAGACAATAATGCCGAGCTCCGAAAACCAAAACCAGTTTCGAATCTTTCCTGCGTTGCATCAGACAGGAACGCACGAGTAGGATATACGCACCCGGAGTGTTTCCAAAGGATGAAATTGATTCCACAAACGCATCAACTGCACCAAATGGCGATGCTTCCGAAGCGACGCTATGTTGAGGCTGGATATTGGAGAGCGACTTTGGGTGTTTGCCAGCAGCCTTCAGCGGATAATTAACAACAAATGAGAAGGATATACTAGGCCTACCCCGCGATCAAATGTGAGAAGTGTCTCGCAATTCGCATCCACGTTGCAAACGAGCGCTTGCATGAACGTTGTAATATCGTCCTGCAACGGCTTTGTATGAAGTCAGGCCTCCAGGGAGGAGCAGCGGGGACTGACCATGACCACTTCGGAGCTGGAGGCGAATCTGTACGTCGGGACCAGGATGGCCGTCTTTCCAGCCTTGGCAGAGAAGACGAGGCGGAAGCAACGGTTACGCGAGTAGACAGCCTGATCGACAAACAACCTGGGGGTGGAAGAGTGATCGGTGATGACATAAAGCTCCTCCAGGTGCTTGTCACGCCCGCGAAGCACATGTATCCGCGAGCACAGCTGCAGCAAAACATTATCCCAACATGGAAAAGAGAATAGGGTCACCTACATGAGCAACAAACTCCCCTGCATGCGAGTTGTCCCTGAAGGCGGTGTTGGGGATGCGCAAGATGAGGTGCCGAGAGAACTTGTCTATAAAGCCATTATAGGAAGGAATCCTTGTGTCTGCTAAGACTAGTATTACCTGCGGTTGACGAGTCGAGCTCCAGTGTCCAGGCCATGTTGTAGCGGATCGAGAAAGCCTCGTAGAGCGTGGAGGCGAGCAGTTGCAGCAGGAGGTCGACCATGGCATCGCCATCCGCGCCCTGGTTGGTGTGCCGGTTGAACTCCAGATCGAAGTAGAGATTGCACGGGGTATTCTATGCATGCGCAGCAATGTGCATCCAGCCCACCTACAGCTCGGGCAGCAATCTTACCTCGCGTATAATTTCATAGTGGTGCCTCAAGCTGCCGTGCATCTTCTCGTATCTGCGGTGCACGATGCGTTAGAATCATGAGGTCCGGGGGAGGAGGCCCACCTCCTCCAGAACTCGAGGTGAGAGGTCACAAGGAATCGCCTTTGGCCCGTTGTGTGGTCTTGGTACGTGAAGACGGCGAGGCCATGGCGGTGACAGTCGGCGTATTGAAGGGCCTGCTCTTGCCTCGCGAACGTGGCCCAAGCATCCCTGTTCCAACTTCCAAAGCACTCTTCACTCGAACAGCCAAAGCACAACAGTCAACTAACCCGGCCGCAATGGGTGTGGATTCTTGGCCAAGATCGCTGCGGATGTCGCGTAGCAAGTGCAAGAGCCGAGGGGGCTGTTGATGACCGCCTCCTCGGGGCGCTCCATAGAAAATGCCCGCTGCTATCTCCCTTGGGCGCTGCTCGTTTCTTGGACATGCCATGCCCACTTGAAAGGGGATCCCAGAAATTTGTATATAGATATATATATGTACTAGGCTTGTTTTGTCGGCCCAGTTACCTCAGCAAGCACAAGAAGCAAGCAGGGCCGGCGCCTGCTCAAACCACCGTCCTGGTCACGAATGACACACCAGACGGCTTGCCACCTTCCTCCTCAAACAACACCACCAAGTTTCCGCCGTCTTGGAGCCAGCTGCGTGGAACATGGTACCTAGAGGTAGAGACGTTAGGTAATCTTGTACAAGGTCCATAGCTCACCATCGCTGAGAAGGTTGGCCACAGCCACTCCTGCACTTGGAAGAGGAATAGCTGCCGCGATAGTCACACGTTTGAGGGCATCCGGCAGTGTCAGGTGCACGCAAGGATGGCCAAAAGCGCCCAATACTCTGCCCGTTGATCCATGCCTGGCCCTTCCCCATGCTTTCCAAGTCCAAAGCCACCGGATCGTTGCCGCTGGGGCTGTCAAAGTGCGCCTGCATTGCAATCCACACGATACATGTGATACCATGGTGTTGGAAGATTACCTTGTACCACACTAATGCCTGCCCTTGAGGGACTGCCGACGACCACCTCACTCTCTGAGATCCGCTCTCCGTGAAGATGGCCAAGCTTTCCCCCTTGAGGCCTACCTGCGTCCACACAGAATAACAAAAGGCTCATTGTGGCGAGCGAACCTGGTGTATCCATTCTTCAGCAGTGAGATCTATTTGACCCGAGGGAAGGCCCTTGACTATGACCGAGCCGTTGATGCCGGCACCCCATGTCTCGATAAATGGACCATAGTTCTGCGGAGCGAAGTAAGAAAGCCGCACACACTTGCGCTGGTCAGATAGACAACCTGTAGGCCAACCGTAGCGCAAAGAATCGCCAGGGAGTTGTGCCCCGAGGCTAGCTCGATAGGCTGTTCCACAGCGGCATACAGTTGGGTTCCCTTTGTGCTTGCGCTGCCTGAATCATGCCATATAAGTGTTTAGAGCGGGAAATCTAGAAAGCCAGCTACCTGCTAGTTTTCCGTTGACAAAGACATGAACTACGTCTCTCATGCTTTCAAGATAAAGAAGTGCTTTTCCAGACGCGGCATCTGCTTGAGAGATATCCAGGCTGCCCAGAGGGTGTAAGCAAAGCTCCAGGTAGCCGGAGAAAAGTCAAAATCCACCTTGTGGTGTACCAAAGGTAGTCGCTTGTATCCTTGGTTGTGTTGATTTGTTCGAGCAATGCCGACGCCACAATACCACTGTCGCTCCACACTCCGACTGGTTCAGGATAGGATTCCCAGGCCAACCCCGTGATGGAGGGCTTCATTGTTGGCATGGCTGTTTGAACGTCCACCTTCGGATAGAAACGTTTCATCGTCAGCATGAGAAGAAGGGAGAGAGAGTGAGAGACCTTAGCGGTGTTGTGGCTGACTGTTTTGCAGTCGGGGAGAATACTGACAGACCAGGCGGGTAGAAGATACGTCCGAGAGTTGAACTTCACGGTGGCATCGGAGCTGGAATCAATGTTTGCCAGAAAAGCTGCACAAGCTCCGGATGACGTGCTCCCGTAGACATGGGCCTGCAAGAGGGTGAAGACCAGGTTTACAAGCCCGTGTTTACCTCTTGCAGTTGGCCCAAGGAAATGTAGGTGGGATCGTTGGAGCCAAGCGCGGCTTCGCAGAGCTTGATTGCAGCGTGCAGCTGCTTCAAATGGCCCCATTTGGGCTGGCGAATTACTCCTGCACGTTACGCGCGTTAGCATGGTATACTGCGGCACACAACCCTTTTACCAAACTCATCAATGGGTGCGTCGTAATCGTAGCTGGTCGTAACGTATGGGCCTCCGGATGATCGCCCGAAATTGGTGCCGCCAAAGTACTGCAAGGTTTCCAGACGAGATTTAGCACATTGCAAGGAAGAGCCCAACCCCCAACCATGTAGTAGTTTTGGAAGCTTCCCCCGCGCTGGAAGAAACGGGCTACAGCGAAGGCAACGTCTTCCACGGGCCTGTGCGGGGATGCCTCTCCCCATTTCTGGAACCTGTGGGTGATCCAAGACATAACCAAGGGGCATTCAACCTTCCTCAAACGTGGCTCACCAGCCGCTCCAATTCTCGGTCCACATTTTGGGTTTCTTCTTGTTGTTGGGAGCCCAGGCATCGCAGTAGAAGCCGTTGCAAGTGTCTAGCTGCAGGAGCGAAAGGGTGTCATGAAAGCCTTATATAATCAAAAGCTCACGATGTAGTCTGGTGCGTCCGACTGCTGGCACATGATCCAGGGCACACCCGTGCCGAGACCCTGGGACATGTTTGCGGCCCACACCATGTACTCCTTTCCTGCCGCTCCATATGCCGCGTCGATGTTGCCATACTCGTTCTCAATCTGTGCTGCTTTTCTTTGCACACAATCAAGAAATGCAAGAGTACCTGAGCCAGTATGATTGGTCCACCCTGAGGCGCGAAAAGCTTGTCATGTTTCATCATCGCCACGATCTTCTCCACGAACGTTTGCATCTCCGCCTGAAGAGTTGACAAACTTGGGTGCCGGGGGCGGATGCAATCTTGAGCAGCGAGCGCGTGAATCATACCTTGAAGGGCTGGTTGTTTGTTCTGAATTCAATTCCTGCCACGTCCTTGAGCCACACGGGGAAGCCCCTGATGAAAACCAAGGAATGTTGTTGCATGCAACGAAGGAGAGAGATTCTCACCCGAGGTTCCATTCCGCGCACACGTAAGGGCCGATCCGGAGATTGGCATATAGGCCCGCCTCGTGGACCAACTTGACAAACGAAACCAGGTCGAATCGCCCCTCGAAGTTGTACTGGAGGGAATGAGGCAAGAATCAAGTCTGTACAAGCGCCCGGGGAAGAGCTTACAGTGTCCCTGGTGGGCTGATGCCCGTCCCAGAAGACGTACGTTTCGATCACGTCAATTCCACCGGCTTTGGCATTGGAGATGAGCTGGCTCCACATCTGCAGATGAATTCAGAGGTTGCGTAGAGAATCGGAGATGGGTGGCTATACCTGAGGAGCTGCGCGAGGGTAGTGGATGGATGCCGAGATGAGCATCCGGTGCTGGCCATTGATGATAAGGCCCCTGTGATCATAGGCCACGGTGTCGGAGAGGCCGACATGGAGGAGCGTGGCGGCGAGGAGGAGGAGGAGGAGGAGGAGGAGGAGCGGCGGCATTTCTGGCTGGAGCGATTGCTGGTGGCGGCCAGGTCGGCCAATGGATCGGTCTCTAGTGCGCTGTCCTTTTCTGGGTAGGAAGCAAGCGCTGCCATCCCATTCCCATCCAAGTTTCATAGCATATAATGACCATCCTCACCGTCCACGTGGTAGTGGGGAATGGAATATCCCAGGTTGGCTGGGCTAGGGCGCTGGCGATGCGGAGGAGGAGGAGGAGGAGGGAGGGCGGCCAAGGCGGGAATGATGATGTCGCGTGGAGGTCACGTAGCTTGGTGCGCAAGGGTGAGCCACAATGCAACAGTGTGAATGGTGAATGGTAGGGCGCACCTGCATTGCGTCCTAGCGTGCCTCTAGGTAGATCGCCATGGCAGCTCCCGGTCGCGGGCAGCGGTTCAAGAGGATGAGCCGGGGAGTGGCGTTCCCGTCAAGCGCCTTGGAGCTGGATCCACAGGTTTGTTCATCCTGGGGAGCTTATTGTTGATTGCTGGTGTTGGCTGCAGCAGCTGCAAGCAGATGCGGAGCACTGCCCCCATCTCAAGCTTGTCTTGCAATCCTACAGCTCGGCCTGGCTCACGGATGACGCCAAGTACGGCCACTACCAAAGCGTCTCGCGCCCTGCCTTTCACAATCAGATTTTCGAGGGACCCGACACCGATGTAGAAACCGGTAAGAGCTCTCTGCCTGCCCGCTGCCTCGTTCCCCCGCACTCACACTCTTTTGTTGATGCGCCTTTCCCTTGCAAGAGTTACACCTCTCCAACCTGCGCCAGGGCCCAAGCGCGTGTGACAGCGAAGAGGCCACCAATACTCCCGGGCGTACAAAGAAGCTGAAGGTGCAGTCCTCACTTTCTCGGTGGTGGAAGGAATAAATCCCCCCCCCCCCTCCCCTCTCTTTGTGCAGCAGCATCTCGGCCCCTCCCCTCTTCATGCTTACGAGCCTGCATTCAACTGGGAATCCGAGAGAGGCGCTATAAGTGGCCAGCGACTGCCGGAACCCCCTCCAGCTTCTCTTGGCAGGTTGTGGTGTTTCTCTGCATTTACCCTACTTAACTGTCTGTCGTCTTTGCTGTTTGCGACAGTGGTCTCAAGGTTGCCGTCAAGGTCTTACAACTCAAGCTTCAAGCAGGTTTCGTGGGTACGTTGGATCCGCCTTCGCAGCTGCAAATTTGCCTCACGCCTGCCTGTCCGCTGCAGAGCCAATCTATGGGAGCCTCAGCCTCTATCATCGAGAAAGGCGGGAAAAACTGTCTGAAGATTTTTATTTCGAGTTCCTTCCTGGCGAATTTTGCGAGGTTTGTGATGCGCGCATACTCCGCACCTAGTCTCACATTCTCATTCAGGGAACGGTGGCTATCCAAAGGCGTGCCATCTTTTCGGTGGATGCTCCTTCGGCATCCATTTGTATGCTTGTGCAGCTCGAGAAGCATGCAACTGAGGAAGGTGGCGTAAAATCCTCTGTGTATTCGCGTAAGGAGCCTGTACGTTTTTCTTTACTTGATCAGCTCTGGCCGTGAAGCTAACCGCTGTCTTCAGGCTCATTTGACGGAAAGAGAGAAGCAAAGGCTCCAAGTATGGGCTCGAATAATGCCATTCAAAGAGCCGTTTGCTTGGGCCACCGTCCCGTTGTTTGACTTGAGTGTAACTGGGGCAATGACAGGTATCTCTTCTCCAAGCAGTCCCCTCTCTGGAGCAGACGCGGTTGGGGAAGGGGGGAAGCGTCTTGGCCACCCCATCATGCTAGACGTTCCGGGCCTTAATCGTGTAAAGGAATGCTACAATGAAGACTGGCTTCAGGTTTGTAAAGGATCATTGCTGCCCGGCGCTCTGAGCCGTATGTTTGCAGGATCCGAAGAAGAAAGCTCATAAACCTATCAAAGCTACGTTGCGCTTTGAAGTCGAGCGCCTTGCCCCCGAGGATCTAGATCCAGACGCAGCATCAGTATGTAGCAGTCCTGACAACCAGGATAGTCAGGTCGGCGAGGCAGATGGAAGGAGCAGTGATGCGGATTTGGACAACAGAAAGAGACGGGTTGGGAACGTTGAGGTGAAGCAGCGATTGCTGCCTGCAGATGTAAGTGATGTGCTGTGGTGACGCGTTGTTCCTAACAATTTTAATCTTTCCCAGCATCCTCTTATGGAGTTTCGGCATTTTACAAAGAGTGAGCCTTTTACGCAGTCGATACACTGCCTTTACGTGTACCCGCTGTCTGTAACGTTTAGTAAGAAGAGGAATCTCTTCATCAGGGTGGAGGTCCGAAAGGATGACATTGATCTCCAGACGCCTGCAATGGAGGTATGTCTTGCATTTGTGAGCCAGATGCTTAGTTCTTCTTACACCAGGCTATTTACCCCCGTGACGCTGAATCCGGCATGCGAGAGTGGGCATATTCTCAAATTGCTGTGGCTTCTCGAACGGCATATTACCATGACGAATTTAAAATGAATTTGCCGGCGGTACTAACGGCACAACATCACATTCTGTTTACTTTATTCCACGTGGATCTTAATATGAAACTCGAGGCTCCAAAACCAGTACGCTGTTTTCCTTCCTCTAACATCATGTCTCTCACTTTTGGTATTGTTGCAGGTAGTCGTCGGCTACGCTATCCTGCCCCTCTTAGCTGGTGCTCAGTACGTGTGTTGAAAATTTGAAACTTATTCTTGATTGTCTCTTCGACAGAAGCATGCGCTTTTCTGATGCCAGCCTTCCGATCCTAAAGGATCTTGTTCCGCATTATCTTCAAGACTCTGTAAAGGTACTGTCGCAAATAGCTCACTGGTATCATATTGTTATTTCTTCAGGACAAAATTGAGCATTTGGAAGATGGGAGGGCATTGCTGAGGCTGCGCTTGCGTCTTTGTTCCTCATTATATTCAGTAAACGAGCGCATTAGGGACTTCACTATAGAATTTGATCGCCACATTTTAAGGGCCAATGCTCCCTGGGGCTCCGAGCTTTTGGAGGTTTGTGTTTGTTCGCCAATTTTATTGAAGAGTCCTAACACTTATATGAATACCAGCCAATCAACAGTCTGAAGAATGTGGATTCAACGTCCATGCTCCAATTTTTGCAACCTTTGATGAATATGTTGTTGCATCTGATCAGTGACAGCGGGGAAACCCTTCAGGTTAATGATGTGGAGTTCTATATTTGTGCTGTAAATACGTTTTTGCTGGTGCCAGGTTGCTGCATTTCGTGCCATGGTGAATATACTTACAAGGTCTGTTTTCTTTTCTTTTCTTTTAAAAAAATGGAATGTATCGCTCAGTTTTGAAACTTTTCAGGGTGCAACAAGAATCGTCTGACGGGGCCGAACGAAACCGCTATCTTGTTCAATTTATTGACTACGCTTTTGATGATTTTGGTGGGCGTCGACCTCCTGTTTACCCTGGATTGTGTAATGTTTGGAGGGGCTTGGCTAGAAGCAAGGTAGCAGTATCGGAACTTCGTTAGCTTGTCATGAAATAGTTTTCTTGCAGGCAAAAGGCTACCGAGTTGGACCTGTATATGATGACGTGCTGTCAATGGCTTGGGTGTTCTTCGAACTGATCGTTAGATCTATGGCTTTAGAGCAAGCTAGACTTTTCCCGGAAAACCTTCCTACTGGTCAGATTTTTCTAACTACCTTTCTTACCGATATTAACTTGCCTTGCAGACGAGGATGCTCCACCTTTGCAACTAACGGATGAAGTTTTTCGCTGCGTGTCAAATTTGTACGATTGCTTGCTTACGGAAGTTCACGATCGATCCAAAAAGGGCCTCAGCCTAGCCAGAAGGTTGAACAGCAGTCTGGCATTCTTTTGCTATGATTTACTTTCCGTTGTTGATCCCCGACAAGTGTTTGAGCTAGTAAGTTGCTTTGGTTACTTTTGCGTTTGCTAATCGAGGCCTTCTTTTTATTGTAGATTGCGCTGTACTTTGACAAGTTTACGGGTGTTTGCCAATCTTCTTTGCACGAGTGTAAGCTGACTTTCTTACAAGTCATCTGCGACCACGATCTTTTTATTGAAATGCCAGGAAGAGACCCTTCTGAAAGGTACGGACATATTCATTCTTACAAGCGTATTTAATTTGTTGTATTTGCAGAAACTATCTTGCTTCAAGCCTTATGCAAGAACTTTTCCTGACATGGGATCACGATGATTTATCACAAAGATCGAAGGTAGATTTGAGTTTTCGTATTTGGGAGCTCTAAAGCGTTTCTGTAAAGGCAGCACGCATTTTGGTGGTCCTCACATGCAAGCACGAGCTCGACTGCCGCTACCAGAAGCTCGAGGACAAGCTGTACATATCACAACTGTACTTCCAACTTGTTGGCATGGTATGTTCCGATTCAAGCTTTATAACCTCGTTTTCTGAAGGGCGTGCTTCAGATTCTGGATGAAATGCCAGTGTTTTACAATCTTAATGCGACAGAGAAACGAGAAGTTCTAATTTGCGTTGTACAAATTATCCGACATCTTGATGATATGTCATTGATAAAAGCATGGCAGCAGAGCGTCGCTCGTACGAGACTTTTCTTTAAACTTATGGAAGAATGTCTCTCCCTCTTTGAGGTAAACTCTTTTTCTACGAAGTTACTTTTCCCATTCTCCGTGCAGCATAGGAAGATGCATGATTCCTTGGGTGGAGCTTTACCAATGCAAACACCGGAAAGCGAAGGTGCATACTCACCCAAATACTCTGATACGCTGTCGCCCGCAGTTCATACTTTTTTTAGCCAAGCTTCTCGACAGGAGCTGAAGGTGAGGTGCTGAATCTCAGGCAAAGCGATAACTAAGACCATCATTTTACAGTGGATGCAGCCTCAAGCAACTCCGGAAAATGGTCACCTGTGGAAAAAGCCAAGTCCTCATTTAAATTCTCCAAGTCAGCCCTACTCTCTACGAGAAGCTTTGGCGCATGCACAGTCTTCTCGAAAAATGGCATCGAACAGAGCTCTTCGCGAGAGCCTGCACCCAATGCTGAGGCAGAAACTCGTAAGAAAATGGATTTGATGTTGCTCTCTATATTCAAGCTGAACTGTACAGGAGCTTTGGGAGGAGAACCTTAGCACTTCAGTGAGCCTACAGGTGCTCGAAATAGTGGAGAAATTCATAGACGTTGCGTCTGTGCACAGCATTGCTACTGACTACGTAAAGCTGGATTGTGTCACTGCTATTTTTACGGGATTCTTCTCCCACAGCCAACCTCTTATATTCTGGAAAGCATTCTTTCCTGTCTTCAACAACCTCTTTACACGTCATGGAGCGACGCTAATGGGCAGAGAAAATGATCGTTTCCTGAAGCAGATTGCGTTCCATCTCTTGCACCTTGCCGTGTATCGGAACGACTCGATACGAAAGAGAGCTGTTGTGGGCCTTCAAATTCTTATTCGGGTGAGCTCTGTGTCTGTTTTCTCAGGTGTTTCTAACGTGTTTGATGCCAAGTGCAGAGCTCCTTTTATTACTTTCAAAGTACAGCCAGGTTGCGCGTCATGCTGACAATAACACTCTCAGAACTAATGTCTGAAGTGCAGGTCACCCAGATGAAGCCTGATGGCAGTTTTGAAGAGAGCGGCGAAGCTCGCCGTTTGAAAAGATCACTGCAAGAAATGGCTTCAGAAGAAATAAGTGATGGCCTGTTGAAAGAATGTGGTCTCCCGGCGAATTGTCTAGATGCCGCGGTTGATGGAGATCGTGATAATCTCTGGCGGTGGTCGGAAGTTCGAGAAATGTCTGTGGCCCTGCTGCAAGCTCTGGATGCAAGTATCGAGCACGCTCTCCTGGTACGTGCATATTGCTACTTCGCTGTGTGGTTAACTGGAGTAATGTTTCAGGGGACCATAATGACAACGGACAAGTATGCGGCAGCAGAAAGTTTCCACAGCTTGGCAGTCGCATACGCACATGTGCCTGATTTACACATAATGTGGCTGCTTCACCTTTGTGACGCCCACCAAGAAATGCAGTCGTGGGCCGAAGCTGCGGAGTGTGCTGTAGCCGTAGCGGGCGTCATTATGCAGGTATAGTTTAGCTGCAAGGGCTACCGTTGCATGTTCACACTGACGCATGGGTGTCTACAGGCTTTGGTAGCGAGAAATGATTTAGTTTGGGGGCGAGATAATCTGGAGGCGCTCCGCAGGATCTGTCCGATGCTTGCCACCTCAGTGGAGGCATCGGCTGCCGAAGTAGAAGGCTATGGGGCGTCGAAGTTGACGGTGGATTCAGCTGTCAAGTATCTACAGCTTGGCAACAAGCTCTTTGCGCAGGCCGAGCTCTTCCATTTTTGTGCGGCGATTGTGGAACTGGTGATTCCTGTGCACAAGAGCAGGAAAGCCTATGGTCAGCTTGCCAAGTGCCACACATCGCTGACGGCTATTTACGAGTCAATTGTGGAGCAGGAGTCGAGCCCGCTGCCCTTCATCGATGCGACATACTACCGTGTCGGCTTCTACGGGGAACAGTTTGGGAAGCTCAATCGACGGGAGTACGTATACAGGGAAGCCAAAGATGTGCGCCTGGGTGATATCATGGAGAAGCTGGGCCACATCTACGAGCTGGTTCTGGGTGCCGACCAAACGCTGCACATAATACCAGATTCGCGCCAGGTCAAAGCCGACGAACTAGAAAGTGGCGTGTGCTATCTGCAAATAACTTCGGTGGATCCGATATTTGAAGGCGAGGACTTGGAGAGTCGGAAGGAACGAATAGCTGCTCGACCATCGGCTTGCAGCTGTGCTCGTGTGTTCGATCACTTTCTGTTTGATACACCGTTTACCAAAAACGGCAAGTCGCAAGGCGGACTGGAGGACCAGTGGAAGAGGCGGACGGTCGTGCAGACGCACGGCTCATTTCCCGCTCTGGTAAACCGGCTTCTCGTGATCAAATCGGAGTCGAGAGAGTTCTCTCCCATAGAGAATGCCATAGGCATGATCGAAGCGAGGACGGCTACGTTGAGAAATGAACTCGAAGAGCCTCGCAACTCCGAGGGTGACCATCTCCCTCGGCTGCAGAGCTTACAAAGGATCCTTCAGGGCAGCGTTGCAGTACAGGTAAGCGTTGGGGTGGTGTTTTTCTAGTACTGTTGTGCTCATGGCTCCTTGTACTCTCAGGTGAACAGCGGTGTGCTAGGAGTATGCTCGGCTTTCCTTTCTGGAGAGCCAGCGACAAAGCTCCGGTCCCAGGAGCTCCAGCAGCTGATTGCTGCATTGCTAGAGTTTATGGCTGTGTGCAAGCGAGCGATACGCATCCACTCGAGGCTCATCGGGGAGGAAGACCAAGATTTCCATTCGCAGCTGGTGAATGGCTTCCAGTCTCTCACTGCAGAACTGTCACACTATATCCCGGCCATTTTATCAGAGCTGTAATTGGATTATAGTGTAAGTAGTGTACATTATTTTGGAACTTTTTTGTACGAAGTAACTTAAGTTGTTTAAAGGACCGCCACCTTTTCAAACATCATAAGCAAATTGCCTGCTGCCCTTTCTGATTTGCATTCATGTGTGGACGTGACATGCACAGACGTGAGATTTAACTAGTAGAATGAATGTCCTAAGCATTGGTAGCCGAGCCCGCCTTGGTCTTTGTTGAGCTCTCCAAAGAAGAAGAGGAGCAGAGATGAAGTGGTGTGCCAAGGCCATCCACGGGCGGCGCCTACTCCTCGTCGTCTTCCTCCTCGTGGGAAGGGCAAGGGCTGCTGCCGCCGGGGCCCTGGTTCCTGCTATGTTCATATTCGGGGATTCCCTGGTGGATGTGGGGAACAACAACTATTTGCTCACCCTCGCCAAAGCCAATGTTGCACCCTATGGCATCGATTCACCTTGGGGTGCCACCGGCCGCTTCTGCAACGGCAAGACGGTGCTGGATGTTGTGTGTAAGTAGTATCTACCTAGTACTGTTTTGTCCTGCCGCCTCATCTTTTCTGCAGGCGAGCTCATTGGATTGCCATACGTGCCTGCGTTTCTGGACCCAAGCACCAAGAACGCCCGCATCCTCAAGGGTGTCAACTATGCCTCTGGTGCCGGCGGCATTCTGGACGAAAGCGGCAAGAACTATGTAGGTGATTCAAGGTAGGGTAGCCGTGTGGATTGCATTTTGATCCCCCCCGCTCTGTCTGCAGATTGAGCGGATATCAATGTCGCAGCAGCTGCACTACTTCCAGCAGACGCTGTCGGGCCTCGTCCAGCAGCTGGGCAGTAGCGGCTGCCAGCAGCTCCTCTCCGATTCACTCTTCGCCATCGTCATTGGAAACAACGACTACATCAACAACTACTTGCTGCCGGACTCGGCCACCAGGTTCCGCTACAGCGAGCGCCAGTTCCAGGACCTGCTCCTGGCTGCCTACGCCCAGCACCTGACGGTGAGCATATATGTGGCGCCCTCAAAGCGTGCTAAGATGGAATAAACGTGGTGTGTAGGAGCTGTACCGCCTGGGGGCGCGGAGGATGGTGGTGGCATCGCTGGGCCCGCTGGGCTGCATCCCGTCGCAGCTGGCGCAGAAGAGCAGCGACGGGGCGTGCGTGGATAGCGTCAACCAGCTCATGCTCGGCTTCAACCTCGGCCTGCAGGACATGCTGGCGTCGCTCCACTCGCTGCTCCCAGGCGCCCGCATTGTGTACGCCGACACCTACACACCCGTTGCCGCCATGGTTGCCACGCCTGGCGCCTACGGCATGGAGAGTGTCAACCGCGGGTGCTGCGGGGGTGGGAGATTCAACGGCCAGCTGCCCTGCTTCCCCAGGCCAATCTCCAACATGTGCTCCAACAGAAGCAACCACCTCTTCTGGGACCCTTTCCACCCCACCGACGCCGCCAACGTCATCCTCGGCCACAGGCTCTTCCAGGCCCTCAAGTCCTCCTTCGGCATCGGGTCGGGGGATTGATTGTTTTCCTTGAGCTCTGTCAAACTTGATCTTGACATTTCCCATTGTTAAATGAACTGACTTACTACTTAGGGCACACAGCAAAATGGAGGAGGATGCGGTGGTGGTCGAAGGCGTGGGTGAGGAGGAGGAAGAGGAGGAGGAAGAGGATGCTCGCGAATGGGACGAGCAGGTGCGCATGAATGGGGGTGCCGTGGAGGAGGAGCTGCTCTCACCCGCCATGTCCCTGCCCTTCCCGGTGTCGAGGCTGCGGCGGCTGATCAAGAGCGAGAACGATATAGCCATGGTGGGCATGGAAGCCATTGTGGTGATTGCCAAAGCCGCGGTATCGTGTCCGTGTCTCTCTTGATGCGATCTCTCTGTTTGTCTTGTGTATGGCGCAGGAGCTCTTCCTGGAGCAGTTCGTGGAGGATGCATTCAAGGGCATGGCCGGGGAGGACAGATCCACCCTCGTGTACAAGGACCTGTGTGAGTGGAAATTTGCCTCGTTTTGTGCTTCAGACCGTGAGAGTGAGAGGGTTGCTGCAGCTTCCGCGGTGTCGTCCATGGACAAACTCGAGTTCTTGGCGGACTTCGTCCCGGACAAGGTGCCGGCTTCCAGGGCTCTCGCGGAAGCACCCTTTCAGATATGTTGATTGTCGAGAAATATATTAGGTCATGCCATTCCTTCCCAATGGGCTCGGGCTCGAGGTGGGCGGAGCGGCTGCTCGAGAGTGGCGCGCTGAGCGACGCGGGCAGGCCGCTGTTGGGGCCCGGAGAGGTGGAATGCCAGCTGCTGGATGGAGTGGACATTGAAGTGGTGGACAGCGGGGTGGAGGGCGATCCACTTAGGTCTGGCCTCCTCATCCTCACCAATGCCCGGATGTTTTGGGTGCACCAGCACTCCCGATCCGCCTTCTTCCTGCCCTTGTCCTCGGTGTCGCGGATCTCGGCTCCCCGAAAGGGCCTCAAGTCCGTCTTCTCTTCCACCCTGCGCCTCAGGGTCTATGTGTGGACTTGTGCCAACGGCAAGCTGTGCCTCCAGGGAGCTGCTGCCGCGCACAGCTCCGTCACGCTCCTCCTTTCCTTCCGGGGCCACGCCAGCAGCTTCGACAACCTGGTGTCGCAGCTTGGAGCGGTGTTGCAGTCGAGGGCATGGGAAACTCTTCCCGCGGCCGCCGTCAACCCCTCCACAGCATCCGCGTCCACGCCCTCGTCCCACTGGAATCCATCCCGAGCTGGAGTGTCTGGCATTTTGAGAAAGGAGCAGGAGCAGTGGGAACAAACAGATAAAAACCTGCAAGAGGCCTTCCACGATCTCAACGCGCTCATGGTGCTTTCCAGTCAAACGCCTCTAAGATTTGATAGATTCTAGCCTCGTCCTTGTTGTTTCAGGGAAAAGCGAAGGAGATGGTACTACTTGCTGATAAGATGCGTGCCCGGCTCTTGACAGAAGGCTCGGCATCGGGATCACAGCAGGAGCTCCACGACTTGCTGCTGAGCGTTGGCATCGCATCGCCAGTTACCAAAGAATCAGCGGGTGCACTCTACCACCAACAGCTTTCGCGACAGGTGAGTGATTCGATCTCGTTCGCGCATGTCATGCGTCTAGCTAACTTTGGCCCTCAAGTTGGCCGACTTTGTGGGGAGCCCTCTGCAAAGCGCGGGAGGGATGCTGGCTCTAGTTGATGTCTACTGCTTGTTCAACCGCGCGAGGGGAACAGGTATACGATTGTGGCTCCCTTGTTTTTGAAATCTGGCACGTCGACAGTGGAATTCGCTTTGGCTTCGCGTAGAGCTTATATCTCCCGAGGATTTGCTCCAGGCATGTGACCTGTGGGACAGACTCGACGTGTAAGCCCAGGCTTGCCAGCCGTTCGCACTCGACTGACTTGACTTTGCCAGGCCCGTGATGCTGCGCCGCTTCGACAGTGGAGCCCTCGCCATACAAATCAAGTCCAAGAGCGATGACGAGGTACGTTTTTATTCTCCAACTAGTGCTACATTTGGTTGCAGGTGGTGGCGAGGATCATGCGTCTCGTGGATGACTTGCGCACTGGCGTTGGTGCGAGGGAAGCGGCAAAGTGCCTGGGTGTTGCTCCAGCTCTTGCCAAGGAGCACCTCTTCTCTGCAGAGGCTCGAGGTACGCATGTAGTCTCCGCGCGCGCCCTGCCGCTGAGCCTTGTGTCGTGTTTTAGGCTTCTTGTGCCGAGACGACGGTCCCGACGGTCTCAGGTTCTACACCAATTTTTTCAAGGACGCTCAATTTCCATAAAAATAGTGTCTTCGTCCCATCAGTAGGAGTGATTGCTAGCCAGCGAGTCGATGAGAAGCTGGTAGCCATCGGGTACCGAGCCCTGCGTGGAGATTGCCTCAGTCAGCCGAGGGATGTCGGTGTCGATGTCCAGGGACTTGGAGAGGAACAGGAGCAGATGGAAATCGGAGATCCTTTGCACGTACGGCCGGCTCTTGTTGCTGTCGAGGTGGCTCCGCAGCGATTCAAAGCTGGGGAGCGTCAGCCTGTTCTCGATGGGGAAATTGCACGACAGGGGACCCTGCATGCACAGACAGATCGATAGCGCTTCAGGGGTCAGCACGAGAGAGAGAGAGAGAGAGAGAGAGAGAGAGAGGGTACGCCGTCTCACCTGGTGGTCGAGGATCTTGACGGGCACAAGGAAGAGGACGTTGTCAACGTCCCTGGTATCCTTGCCCAGGATCACCACCTCCTTGTTCATCCTCGACAGCTTGGGATTCACATCCTCGGCGTCCTGGACAAACCAGCCCTCCTTCCACAGCTTGATGCACTGGTCGCTGAGCTGGAAGGACTCAAACTGGACGTCGCCATTGGCCTCGAGCTTGACCAGCGCCGTGGTCCAGGCGTCAAAGTTGCTCTCGGCGTGCAGCTGGGCAGCCTGGCGGATCTCGGCGTTGCTCAGCGTGTAGTCGGCCTTGCCCTGACTGATGGTGTGCGTGAAGATGAAACCCAGGCGCCTCATGCCCAGGCCCGCAGCGATGCCGTCGGCCCGCCTCTCCTCGTCGGGGTCTCGCAGCAGGAGAAGGCCGTCCTCGCTGCCCTGCTGCGGAGGCTCGTAGATGAAGTGGACCAGGGCATCCCCTTGCTCCGTGACGCTGCCATACATGAAGCCACCCCGCTTGACGCCGAAGGCCAGCGTCTCGTGCACGTAGTGTTGGAACGCGTTGGCCGCCGCCCTGTCGAAGCTGAGCGAGTTGCAGTGGGCATGCTGCTGCCGCTCCACCCTCGTCTGCCTGGCGATGAGGTCGTCCATGGTCATCTTCTTGCCAAACGCCCCCGACGGCGTCACCTTTGGGCCGGCCACCTCCCGCTTCCCGCTGTAAAACAGAAACACAACGGATCCGTGCCCGATACCTAGCGACGACAGCGCAGCCGAGGGATCCCTCATGTCCGCCGCCATGAGCGCAGCGCCACTGGGATCCTTGGCCATGAGCAGGGACTGATTTCTCGACACATACTGGGCGCTCACCGGGACCTGGAGCTCCCGCTCGATAGCCATCTGCAGCTCCAGCACCGTCGCCTTGGGGTGAACACTCACTCTCTCCAGCCCGTCGCGGCTGCGGATGCGCACCACCGCTGCCGCCATCACCACCAAACTCTTTTTTTTAGGGCTTGACAGGCAAGACCATGGCTGTCATGGCATGCCATCGCTTTGGAGTGGAGCTGTGGAAGGAGCAGAGACGGGAATGGAGGCGGAGGGCATGCCCCAAGCCGTCACGCAACCGCAAAAGGGGGAGTCGAACCATCAAGTTGGCTCTGGTTCTTCTCCACTTTGTTTGATTGGCCTCACCTAGTCTGTTGATGGCAGCTGGAACGAGACTTGCCACATCTTGCAAGCCGAGGAGCCACGCCATTTCTCGCGACCCGTGCCGCTGGCGGAGATGGTGGAGTTTTTGACCGGCCTGTGGGAGGTACTATCAGCCAAGGCCCAGGAGGAGGCCAAGGAGCGCAAATAGATGTACGTACTATGTGCCTGGACCATTGCAGCAATTTCACCTGCTCCTACTCTGATGCCCCTGCCACCAGCGAAACCCCATCCAGGATGGATGCCGTCTCCTGGCTCCCACTAGCTCCCACAACGCACCATGCGCTGCAGCATGAGTGGGCTGCGGCGATATCCAGATGCAGCAACGTTGAGGAGGGAAGGGCGGTGCACGCGCGCATTGTCGCGGCTGCTAGACACACCGATGTCTACCTGTGCAATCTTGTCATTCATATGTTTGGCCGCTGTGGCAGCAGTGGTGACGCCAGGCGAGTGTTTGCTACCGTCCGCCACCCCAACGACCACTCGTGGACGCTCCTCCTTGGCGCCTACATCCAAAGCGGGAATGTGGAGGCGGCCAAACAAGTACTGGACGCAATGCCGCGGCCAAACGTGGTGGCCTGGACGCTGCTCCTCCAAGGATATGCCGACAAAGGGCACCTCGAGGCTGCTAAGGCTACCTTCGACGCTATGCCACAGCCCAATATCGTAAGCTGGACGGCGATGCTGGCCTTGTATGGCAGCAATGGCAACGTCGAGGCAGCTCACCTCATGTTTGATGGAATGCCACAGTACAGCTTGGTGTCGTGGAACGCGCTTTTATTTGCATATGCCGCATCAGGGCATGGTGAGAAAGCAGAGCGCGTGTTCAATGCCATGCCGGAGCACAACCTGCAAAGCTGGTGCAGCATGATGAGTGCGTTCAACGAGGCGGGGAACGGGGAGCGTGCTGCCGCGCTCTTCCAGCAAATGCCGGGCAGGGATGTGGTAGCGTGGAACAGCCTTCTGCGTGCCCGCATTGTGACGGGGGACTTGGACGCCGCCAAGACCACTCTGGTGCACTATATGCCACAGCACAACCTAATCTCTTGGAACACTTATATGAGTGGTCTCGCGCAGCATGGCGCGGCTGGGGGTGGCACTGCTGCTGCTGCTGCCATTCTGGACGAGGCCGCCGGTGTGTTTGATGCCATTCCGGAGTGGAACGTGGTCACCGTAAACTCGATGCTTTCTTGCTATTCTCAGGCCGGGAGGCTGGGCGACGCCAGGCAGCTGTTTGACTGCTTGGGCGGGAGGCAGGACTTGGTACTGCACACGACAATGTTCGTGGCGTATGCCCAGAGAGGGCATCTGGAGGAGGCCAAGGTGCTGTTTGACAAGCTGCCCTATTGCAGCCTGGTGTCATGGAACGCAATGGTGGTGGCTTACGGGCAGAGCGAGGACGTCCATGGAGCGCATCGCCTCTTTTCCCAGGCGCCACATCGCAACGTCGCCACCTGGAATGCGCTCTTGAGTGTGTATGCCCGAAACGGGCATCTGTGGGCAGCGCGGGCCTTGTTCGACGTCATGCCCGCCCGTGACTTGTTGTCGTGGAACACCATGCTGGCGGCGTATGCGCACCTGGGCGGTGACGACGAGTGCGAGCGAGGCACGGAAGTGGTGACAAGCATGGCCTGGGAGGGCACGGCGCCCGACGAGGTGAGCTATCTGTGCCTCCTAGTTGTGTGCAACCACTTTGGGCTGCTCCACACCGGTTGCCGCTACTTTGCGTCCATGGCGAGCGACTACGGATTGCAGCCGGGCAAGGAGCACTACAGTGCGATGGCAGGCATCCTGGGGCGACTGGGGCTGGTGCATGAGGCGGAGGGGCTCATCACGCTCATGCCCTGCGCCGCCGACGCCGTGTCGTGGACAGCTCTGCTGGGCGCTTGCCACATCCACCCCAGCCGCCAGCAGCTGAGGCGCGCCCACGAAGCTGCCAAGAAGGTTGCGGCGCTGGAGCCCCACAGCGTGGCGCCGCACATTCTCCTGTCCGCCATTGCTGCTCCTCACGAGTAAAAGGAGCGAGCAAGAGTTTAGGGTTTGTGTTGGCCGCCCTAGGCTAGGTAGGGGAGTGGAACAAGCGCCGGCTCGCGGGTAAGCTCAATCGTGGAGGGAGAGGAGGGAGGAGGGGCGATGCCGTCGATATCGCCGGGGCAGACGTCGTCGCACGCGTGCGTCCAGTTCCTGAATTCGGTACTGTCGCGCCCCAACGCGCTGCCGTACGAGGAGGAAGTGAAATGGTCCATCCGGCAGCACCTGGTGAACGTGATCCAGCACTTCCCGGGGCTCCAGGCCCGCACAGCCGGCTTCACGCACAACGATGGCCGCCAAGCCAATCTCCTCCAGGCGGATGGCACCATTCCCATGTACTACCAGGACGTCAAGTACAACATCCCCGTTACGATCTGGCTCACGGAGCCGTATCCCCGCAAGCCGCCGCTCGTCTACGTGAGTCCCACACGGGACATGATCATCAAACCTCGCCATCGCCTGGTGGACGCCTCGGGGATGGTCTCGGTGCCTTACTTGCAGCAGTGGGTGTTCCCGCGTTCCAATCTGGTGGAGCTTGTCCAAAATCTCAGCTTGCACTTTGGTCACGACCCTCCGCTCTACTCGAGGCCGTCCACACCCGTCCCGTCTCCACAGCAGCAGCAGCAGCAGCAGCAACTCCAGCAACAAACGCAACCCCAGCAGCAACCACAGCAGTCGTTCCATGGAATGAATCCAATCTACAGCAGCAACTCTCCACCACCTACGTCGGCGGCGCCCATCCCGTATCCTCCTCCCTACTATCAGCAGCAGCAGCAGCAGCAGCAGCCATCGACTCGTACAGAGGACCCGGCGTCCGTGTTTAAGAGGAACGCTGTCAACACTTTGGTGGCACGGGTGCAACAGGATGTGGTAAGCTTGCGGAGCTCGTTCGAGGTAGAGATGGACGAGCTTTTTAGCGTGCAAGCGTCTCTGAACAAGAGAGCCGAGCAGCTAGGCAAGCACTTACAGGAGCTCCAGCACGAGAAGGAGGGCCTAGAGCAGCAACTGCAGCTGCTGCTTACCAACACGGACGTGCTGGAGACGTGGCTGCAGTCCAACGACGGCCCCAACGCGTCGGGCGACATGAACATAGACGAGGCGTTCGAGCCTTGCGACGTGCTGTCGAGGCAGATGTTGGAGGCGAGCGCCGAGGACCTGGCGATCGAGGACGTGCTCTATTCTTTGGACAAGGCAGTGCAGGAGGGGGTGATCACGGCGGAGGTGTACCTCAGGCACGTCCGGATGCTGGCGCGCGATCAGTTCTTCTACCGAGCTACTTCAGCCAAAGTGAGGACGGCACAGATGCAAGCACAGGTTGCTGGCATGGCAGCCCGGGCTGCTCCTCCGCCCTACGTCTCCTCGTGAGGCCGTGCCGCAGGGGACATGGAGTATAGGAATAACAGGGAGGTGGTGGTGTATTTATGTTTATTTGCTGGGATCCATCCAGACGAGACGCAGAGTGGCGGAGGCAGTTCGTTTGTGCATAATTACCTATGATAATCTGATTCAATATTGCGATTCACCACAATGCACAGTCAATCGGACTTGCAACTCTGGTAGACTTGAGGTTTGAGTACTCCCACGTATGGGAGGTTTCGGTAGTGCTCCGCGAAATCCATGCCGTAGCCCACCACGAACCTGTCCGGGCACTGGCACAGCGGTTTTACACAGTTTATTTAGACTGGATTTTGGTCGCAAAACACACCTGGAAGCCAGCATAAAGCCTGCCGTTGCTGGGGAGAGTGAGGCCGACCCTCCGCCGGCATACCTTGTCCAGCAGCGCACACACAGAGATGGAGGCAGCTCCCCGCTCCAGCAGATGGTCCACCAGCGCTGACAAGGTGACCCCCGTGTCGATGATGTCCTCCACCTTTGCGTATGAGAATGGTTATAGCTTTAGCTATGCAAGAGCCGGCTTACCAGGAGGATGTGCTTGCCTTTAACGTTGATCTTGGCGTCGCACGACGAGACGGTGGCCACGCCGCTCGACTGCGTGTTGTTGCCGTAAGACTGCACCCGGATGAAGTCGACGAGGACGGGCAGCTTGAGATGGCGAGCCAGGTCGGCCACAAGCATGAAAGCTCCGGTGGCCACCTGCACACGACGACAGTCATTCTCTACAAAGTTGGCTGCTTCCCTACCCCGAGAAGAAGCAGAGGGGTGTGGCTGGCCAGGTCGCGGGAGATTGCGGCCGCCAGCTCCTTGACCCGCTGCTCGATGTCCGCCGCCGTCCACAGGACTTGCTCAATGTCCGACTCCATTGTTTAGGTTTGCTGCGCTGCCAAAATATCTGGTAACCAAGAACAAGGAAAGATATGTCTCTTGTTCCGCCGCTGCTGGTGCCGCTGCTGCTTGTGCAGCTACGACTAGTATTTGGCAGTGCAGGGACGTGTCAAGCCCACATTCGAGACGACATCAGCTCCTTCCAGTCTCCAGGTTTTTAGTGTGTTTTATTATATGGCTTTGAGACGAGGCCCTTCCCTCCCAGCGGACTTGCCAGGATTCACCCGGAGCGTGTACCAACGGGACCATGCGCTTATCACACCCGAGAGCCAAGTTTTCAGTGCTCTTCCCGGATGGTCTGCAATTGCCTCCTCTCTCCTCTCTCTCCCATCTCATCACTGTTTCCATCACGTTTCTAGGACCAATGCTCAAGCAGCTTACCTGGTCACGCCAGCGATTGGCTCGCATTTCACCATGTACATTGCACGCATGGAAGGTAAATTCATGAATCATGTTCATGCCTCACAGCTGATAACGTGTGTCTCGGCCTCAGCTTCCTCATCTTCGGCCCCTCCCTTACCGGGTGTTGAGAGGTACGCAAGAGTAACATTTAGGGAGAGACGTCTAAACATCAAACCGCAGGCTTGTCTTTGTCCTCGCGGGCAGCGTTCTCTTGACCACGCACAATGTGATGGATGACGAGAACGAGCTCTCGGTATTTTCCCGTCGCTAGTAGTACTTCATTTCCACTGTGTATGGTGATTTGTGCGCAGGTGAACTCGTATGCGTATCTCCCACCACATTTTAACCACACCCTCTACTCAACTGCGCCTGTAACCTTTCTCGTCTTGGAACGCAGGCGGGTCTCCCTTCTTCCTTGAATGACCGAACAACATGTCGTCGTGGTTTGCAGGTATTTTGCATCACAAGCCCTCGACAACCAGCGTCCCCAATTCCTCGTTGGAAATGTCGATGATCGTCCTCTTCTTGAAACTCCCGGGGAGGTAAGCAGCTACACCTTGCAAGCTTAACACACTGTAACTTTTCTGAGTTTCCAGGTTTTTGATCTGCGAAAGTTGCTACCCTCGGACGCAATCTACGACTTCAACGTCCATGTAAGTGTCAAACTTTCATGTCGCGTCTAACAACGCAAGAACGTTGACCTGCTGGTCACAGATTATGGATTTCCAGCCTGGAGAGTACTTGAACGTCAAGGCAAGTTTTGGATTCCCTATGTTGCTACGCTTACCGTGGCGATGACACCCAGGAGGTTCACTATTTTCAACACGGCTTGTTCCTGCTCGAAGGTCGGGGGATCTACCGGCTCAGCAATCAGTGGTAAAACAGTTCCTGCATCATCTCCATTCTCTCCATCTGTCTATACTGCAGGTATCCCGTGCAAGCAGGCGATGCCATCTGGATGGCTCCATTTGTCCCACAATGGTAAAACTTTGCCTATGCACCGTGTTTATATCCAAGTCTGGCTGTTAAACAAAACAGGTATGGAGCGCTCGGACGGACGAGGTCCCGATACTTTTTGTACAAAGATATCAACAGAGATCCTCTCCTGCATCCTTACGGCTACTGAGAGAAAGAATGTGGAAAAAATGTCCCGTCCATGATATCTAGTCGTGTTTCAGAATCCACCTGGACTCCCCACCATCCTTGTTCAAGGCCGCTATCTCATTCAGCAGCTGCCTGAAAAGCGGTAGCTCCGCTTGTGACAGCTTCAGCTTGAAGTGCTGAACGACTGTCGTCGACAGTGCACTCCCGCCGTGGCTCCTCAGAAACCTCTCAAGCTCGCTACGTAGTGCCTCTCGTTTGCTTTCGACCGCACCTGCTTGGCGTTGCCTCATCTGAGCCAGGAGCTCGACCGAGCTGAGGGCCCTGCTGCTAGATGCACCTGGCGTCCCCGGGGGTGGCGCAGGAGACATCAAGCGAGAATTCACGGCAGCTCCAAACCTCCTCCGTCCACCACCTGGAGCCCCAGCAGCGCCTGAGTTCCCTGTCCACGTGGGAACAGCCACGTCGTCTCGCATTCGTATTAGCCGAGACTGCTGGAGAGCTTCGGCAGCTCGTTCGGCCACCCTGCTCGCTTCAAAGTCCACCTTCACCCGTTCGGGATCGTTGACAGCCAGGATTGCATCGTGGTCCATCGCAGACTAAAGCACACACACGTTAAACCTGGAGACTTGGAAAATGAACTTACGTGTATTCCGTTGGCCTGCATCAAGCTCTGCAGAAGCCTGGACTCATCCGCACCATCTTGCTCGTCTCTTGTGATTTGGTCACCTTCCTCGCCACCATGTGCCGCTTCTTTGGCGTCGCTTTCAGCCGCAGCGGGAAGCTTTAACTCTGGAAACAAGTTCGATGTCTCCGTTTTGTCTCCCTCCGCATCTTCGTGCAGCACGAACAAATCTCGCATGTCTTTGGACTTGAATACACGCCGTTGTTGGGGATCCCGGAGGATTTTGTTCGTCAAAAACTGCTTGTATATTTGGCGATGGTACACCTTCTCTTCAATCGTTCCCCTGGTAATTAGACGGTAAACAATAACGTCCTTTGTCTGCCCGATTCTCCAAGCCCTTTCTCTAGCCTATTGAAGAGAAAGTCGGAGCAAGTTATTGAAAGGACTAGCCATACCTGCATGTCAGTCGAAGGGTTCCAGTCCGGATCGAAAATAATAACTCTGTTCGCACCAGTAAGATTGGTTCCCAGGCCCCCGACTTTGGTAGTTAATAGGAAGACGAAAACATGTGAAGACTCGTTGAATTCGTCGATTAGAGCCGGCCGCTGCTTCACAGATGTGGAGCCATCCATTCTCCTGTATGTATACCCCTGTGACTCTACAAAGATCTCAACGATATCCAGCATCTGTTGCGTCTGGCAGAAAACAAGTACTCTGTGCCCCTGATCCTTCCACGAGTTGAGGACCTGACTGACCACCATCAGCTTCCCACTTCGATCTGGTAGGCCGTAGTCGGCATGCTTCTCGCTGGCCTCCCTCTCCAGAAGATCAGGATGGTTGCAGATCTTCCGCAGTATGTCAATGCCGTAGAGTGCGTTCTTGCTCCCCTCGAAAATGCGTTCCACGTCTGAGCTTGCTAAGAAGGCACGGTAGCAGGCGCGCTGCGTCTCAGTCAGGCTACAGAAAAGAACGTGCTCCGTCTTCTTGGTGAGCTTGGCTTCAACATCGGACTTCATGCGGCGGAGAATGTAAGGCATGATCAGATCCCGAAGGGTGACGGCACACTTGTAGGCAGTGGAGACCTGCAACGATGTCGCATTTGCATAGCCACCGATGGATATAGGTAGAGCAAACTGGGCCTGGAACACTGGAAGGACTCCCAGCTTTCCAGGGAAAACGAAGTCGAAGAGAGACCACAGCTCTGTAAGCTTGTTTTGTATAGGAGCACCGGTCATGATAATGCGGTGAACAGTCTGTAGCTGCTTGCAGATGAGAGTTGTTTCAGCGTCTGGATTCCTTATCCTGTGCCCTTCGTCCAGTACCGCATATCCCCAGTCTATGTCCAGCAGTGTATCTTTCAGCAACCGGAGCTGCTCATAAGTCGTCACAATGAGACCAGAAGGCGACCGGACAGTTTTTTCTACAACCCCGTCCCAACGAGCTAGTCTTGCATCACGCCTCGCGTCGCCACTGTCATCTCCGCTTGCATCGGAATCCTCCGCCTCCTTCTTCTTCCCTTTCGGAGCAGCCGACTCGTGCACAACTTGCACGTCGAACTTGGGATACCACTTTTCAACCTCCCGCTTCCACTGGAAAGTTAGTGTCACGGGACAGACGACAATGCTGGGCGAGTACATCCGACTGTGGTGTAAGGCAGCCAGAAATGCAATGACCTGTACCGTTTTGCCTAGTCCCATCTCATCACCTATGATCCCCCCTGTTTTTAGAGAGTGCAGTTCCCACAGCCACTTGACTCCAGTTTTCTGATAATCGAAGAGCCTGTCGTAGATATCTAACGGAATCCTGAGCCCTCCTTCCAGGATCACGTCGTCGTCGCATTCCTCATCATTAACGTCGTTGTCGTCGCCATCTAAGTAAGCCACGAACGAGTTAATAAGATGAGATAACGATGGCATACCGTCGTTGTCATCTGCTGCCTGCTCTGGTAGCTTGTGAGGCTTTTTCCGCCTCCACTTGGACTCAGGCAGCGGCCGCTTGCGCTTCTTCCTCCTCCCAACGTCAAGTGACTTTGGAGGCCTTCGAAACTCACGCGTCGGCGCCTCGAGCGTTGGGAGCTGGGCCGGATCGAGCAGCTTGGTTGTTGCTCGAGAGCGAGATATTGCGGCCAGCGACGCGACGGCATTAGAGAGGCTGGTCTCGGCCAATCGGTCCCGCTCCAGCGACTGTCGATCACTTAGCGTCTGTACTCGGCGCTCGAAGCCTTTGATCCTGTCAAACGGCGTCAGTGCCCCGGTGCGGATGAGCCTGTCGCGCTCCTGGAAAGGCAAGCGTCCCCCGTCGGTGATGGAAAGAAAAACTTGAGCTTAGTTACCCACAGTCTCAACAAGCCCAGAGGCTGCGTCCAGAGCTGCGTCGAGGTCGTTGTCTTCCAGGAGGCAAGAGCGTTGTTCTTGTGTGGAAGGTGACGCTCCATCCAGAGACTTCAATCGGGCTCGCAGCTTTTTCTTCTTGGAGTTGAGAGAGTGGAGACGGTCGTGCGCGAGAGTGGTGTGGAGCTCACCACCGTCCTCTTCATAACGCTCCAGACCATTCTCCACAGCGTCAATCTCCTTCTGCAAGACAGTCAATTGCTTGGCAATAGCCTCCGGGTGCTCGCCCCCGCCGCCGCCATCAACCTAGCAAAGCAAACAGTCTCGAAAGGCCGTAGGTAGCGGAAGAAGGATCACACCTGGTGGTGCTGCGCAGCAATGACATGGCGCTCGACGTCCTCAGCTCGTGCAGCCGTCACGCCCAGCCGCTGCAACAGCTCCTCGTCCTCCTCCATCGCCAAAAAGACCAAATGCCACTAAGCCCTAGAGGGCCCTTACTTTGTTATTTAACAGTGAAAGATGAAAAAGCCAAGCCAGGGCGTCTTTCGTGATTGTCTCGCTTTCCGTCCGGTGCGGACTTACTAAGACTCTTCGACCTTGGATTCCGCAGTCTTCTTGCCACTAGGGGGCGACGAAAACATGAAGTAAACTGCACAAGCCACAGCAACAAGGCCAGCTCCCATCGCTATGCTCTTGGTGGGCAGGTCCGGGTCTGCCTTTGGCACTCGTTCTTCTGTGGATGCCGAGGATGCCGCAGACGAGGCCTCCTCCTCGCTTGCCTGCCCACCAGTGAGGAGTGAGGATTGATTGAATGTCAATGCAGCAGCACGCAGCAGCACTCACCTTCATGCGGGCTTTTTCGAGCTTTTCCCTCTCCATTCTCTGATCATACATGATCAAAGCGACATGAGGACTTTTTGGCCAGAAACAAAGCAAGCAAACCTTTATATACATGTTTTCCGCCGCCTTCTCCTCCTCGCTAAGCACGCCTCGCGTGTCGGCATAGGTCCGGCGGATCAAGACGCCCCCTCCCGTCAAGCGCTGCGCAGCTCGCCTCATCATCATCATCGTCGTCGTCGGCGCCGCTCGCTTCTCTCAACTCTCCCTAGGTCTAGAAGCAAGGAGAAGACCTAAAGCGCAAAAAGGGAAGGAAAATGCAAAGGGAAGGGGGGTATATTCCTTGGCGGCTGGGAATGGAAGCGTGAACAGGAGGAGCGAGCACAGGGGCGAATCTTTCCAGCATTGTCGGTCACTCTCACAGCAATCAGCAATGTGTGCCAAATCCGGGCGCTGAATGCGGCGGTGATGAGAGAGTTCTAGGGTAATTTGCAGAGGAGGTAGGGCGCGGCCCTCGCGTTGCGCAATCTGGCCTGTAGCGGCAGTGGCAGCGGCCGCAGCTGGTGGGCAAAGGTTGGTCACAGGAAGTTGATGGCATGGAACGCGTTCAAGCTTTGCACCGGTCTCCGGGTCGTGGGATCCGTCATGATCCTGGTGGTTCTGGCCGTTGTCTCCGTCTCCTACTACGCCATCGTCGTCGCCAATTACGGCCCCGATCTGTTCAAGGCTGGATATCACGCCCCGGTTGCCGCGCTCGTCATTGTCGCCTTCCACCTCTTGGTAACAAGAATACTTTCTTTGCATTGAGTGTGCATTCCATAGCTCAGAGCTTTCTTCGATGCATCAGCTGGCAATGGTCCTCTGGTGCTATTTTGCAGTGGTGTTCACGGATCCAGGGAGCGTCCCCTCGGACTGGAAGCCCGCCTCCGCGAATGAGGATATGGAAGCACAGAACACGCTCCTGTCATCGCTGCCCGCCAACTCGGCCGCAGTCCTGACCGCGCCCACCACCCAGATGAGCACCAGCCTCGACAGCTCCAGGATGCGCTTCTGCCGGAAGTGCTGCCAGTTCAAGCCTCCGCGCTGCCACCACTGCTCCGTGTGTAAGTCATGCCCATGCGCCTCAAACTCTTTCGCTAACTTGCCAGTGCCATGCAGGTGGACGATGCGTCCTCAAGATGGACCACCACTGTGTCTGGGTTGTCAATTGTGTTGGTGCTCGCAACTACAAGGCGTTTCTACTTTTCCTGGTACGACGGGTGCCAATCATCCTCCTCTGCATGTTGACGTCTGGATATTGTGCAGTTCTATACATTTCTTGAGACATCACTGGTGTCGCTCTCGCTACTACCACACTTCATTGCATTCTTCACAGATGCTGATGACGAGCCTGCTCTTCCCGGGACACTTGCGACCACCTTTCTCGCATTTGGTCAGTCGTTGCGGTTTCTTTCTCATTCTGAAACTCGCCCTTTTCCTCTTGGCTTCAGTCCTAGATCTGGCCTTTGCACTCAGCGTACTGGGTTTTCTCATCATGCACATATCTTTAGTCGCTGGAAACACCACCACCATTGAGGTTAAAGCATAACTTCCTTTCCAAGTGTTTCCTGCTCAATGCTGTTGCCGCAGGCTTACGAGAAGAAAGCAACTGCAAGATGGCGCTATGACCTTGGGCGTAGAAAGAATTTCGAGCAGGTAGGCAGGTTTGCATTTGTTTTGGATTGCAAGAGCTTCACCTCCGTTGGCAGGTTTTTGGCACAAAGAAATTGTTTTGGTTCCTTCCCATGTATGCGGAAGAGGATGTTAGAAGAATGCCAGTGTTCAAAGGGCTAGAGTATCCTGTGAGATCGGATATGGAAGGCCAGGAGTTTTGAATCAAAAGGCACTTTGTATTTACCGACTGCTCCTTTAATTCAACAACACGCGCGCGCGCACACCCAGCAGCTCGCTCGACCGAGACAGTTGGTATGCTGCGGTTCTTTTTATCTACACTGGGAACTTACAAGGCTGTTTGTGCTCAAGCCTGACATGTCCACAGGTGGTTGATGCTGGGATCTGGAACAAATGGTGGTAGCCAATCCGCATCAAGAGTGTCGGCTGAGATGAGGCTCGGTACAATGTCGATATCGTGAAAGCGGCCCGAGTTTCTTCCGAGGCCGAATGGTTGAGCAGAAGCAGCAGCCACAGCAGCGGCGGCGCCAGCGTGGGGTTGAGCCGGGGAGAGAAGAAGATGGTGATTGAAGTTGGAGGTGGTGGAGGAGTGCCGCTTGCGAGGGGTGAGCTCCACGCATCCGTCCGGGATCCAGGAGTCATCACACAGATCGTTGATGCGGTTGTTGCCCGTGAGGCACTGGACCAGCGTGCGGAAGTTCTCGGCATCGGTGCGGAAGATCCTCGGGGAGAAGATGTGCACCACCTTGAGTGGCTGCGCTCCGGCTGGCGAGGAGGGGCGAGAGGAGCAAGGGGAGGAGGAATCCATGGCGAAGAAAGGAGAAGAGAGAAGGGGGATTGATTGGTTTCCGAATGTTTAGACGTGTTAATATATACAAGCAGGGTGATTCTGCGCTTGTTCGTAGCTTTGACTGGGGTGCCTCAGTGCGGGGGTATAGCCCAACGTCATACGAGGTGGATGGATACTTCGATGCATGGAAGATTGGAATGTGGGGCTCACGCGCTGGACCGAACCCCCCGGGAAAGTGGATCGGGATACCCAGACAAACGCTTTGAGGCGCACCGTACCCCCATCGCTCTGGTCAAAAGATGGCCATATATCAAATACAAAACCTATGAGCACGACAAGGAAAACAACACTCTTTGACAAGGACCCCGGTCAAGCCTTTGAAACTTCAAGACACCTTCTTTTTCCTCTCTCTCTCTCTCTGCTCCTTTGCCTCTTCTTTGTCTTCGTCATGGCTTGATTTGATTGATTTCGATCCCCTGGCTCTTTTCTCTTTTCCTTTCGACAACAACAAATGTCGCAACTATAACACCCACGCGTTAGCGTAGAGAAAAGAACGGTATGTCGCGTCGCCAAAGAGTTTCAGCACAGGAAGTCGAGGCTGCCTGGCAAGATCCCAAACTCGGCGGGAAGAAAACCAAGATGCTCTCCATCAGCCTGGACAAACACGCCGTCATCTCCACTCTCGTTGTCGGCCTCCTTAATCTCGATGCTCTTCACTCTGAAACAAAGCCACCTTCAATCGACAAGCCGATGGTGAGACATAGACCTACTTGTCGAACCGCCACGTATTGTTCAGTTCGAGAAAAGTGCCCTTGTACAGCTTGAACAAGTGTATCACAAAGTGGTACCACTGAAAGTGTTGCAAAATGGTCACCTGCGAGCGCATCATCTCTCCTCCACTGTTACATCTTTGACCCCGTCGAGGGTCACACACATACCTCAAGATCTCCACTGTAAGGATCCGCTGTTGGCGTGATTTTCATGCCGCCGCCAAAGTACTTGCCATTTCCAATTGCAATGGATGTAACTCTTGAAAAACGTTTCCACTCCTCTCCGTTGATCTGTGTAACAAGAAAAAAACTTTGAGGAAAAGAAAACACAAAAAGTTATTTACCCGGATATCAAGGTCGCGATTCTTGTGATGCATGAACGCCTGCAATGCCCCTATCACGTAAGACAAGTTTCCCAGCCACTTATACTTAGTGGCATGGTATCCGGCCTGTGCGCTCCTGTCAAGCACGGTAAGCAAGTGCCGGGAAAGCAAAGAGCAGACATACAAATGAAGTGCTCCAACGTTGATGAAATGATGCCGGTTTCCACCAACAGAAACGTAGCCAGTGTCAATGCGTCGATGGTCTCCTAGTAAAGTTTTAAAGCTGTGATACCATGTCAAGAACAGACTATATCCACACCTCGGGCGATCCGATGAATGGCTTGGTAAGGATCATTGCTCCTGTTCAGTGTCAAGGTTGAGAATATATATATGAAAATGAATTATCACAAAACGGGAAAAGTTTACCAGCCGAATGTTCGAGCAAAATCCGAGCCTGTTCCAAGAGGGATGAGCTGCAGGCATCCATTTTCATTTGCATTTGCAGGTCAAGCAAGGATTGAGTTTTAAGCAACCGGCCTACCCCGAGAGCTGTCTTATGGCTGCTCTCATCCGCGGAGGCGCAATTGTCGTGAAAGAAGCCATTCACAACCTGATCGCAAAGGATGAATGTCGTGAAAGAGTTGGAACGGACAAAAGAATACCTCGTGAAGTGTACCATCGCCACCAACGGCAATCACAGCAGCAGCTCCGTCCTCAACAGCCTGCAAGCAACGATAGAAAAGAGGTCTTGAAACAAACTCTCCAGAAACCTTTCTTGTAGCTTCCGTGGCATGGAATGGTCCCGACGTCCTCACCTGAGAGACCTGCGAGTGCCAAGATCTTGCAAACATAGAATCAACATACTTACTCACATTGTAATGTTTGCTGAGCTCAAGCGAGAGCTTGGGGAAAATGTTGCTCCATTCCCTGCCAGTGCGACCATTAGCTCCTAAGTTTATCCCGTTAGCATGGAGTGGGAGGCTTGGTCTTGATGTACCTTTGGGATTGACAACGAAGACACATTCCCGCTTCTTGCTGTCGAGCTGGAGGCCCCGCGGCGCGTCAGCCCAAGCTGTTGATGCCCTGAGCGCCATATCTCAATCAGCGAAAGAGAGACCTAGACCAAACTCTGTAGTTTTGGATATAGGGCATATTTTGATGGAAATGCGCACCTTTGTTTCAGAACTCGCAAATTTCTACTGCTGCTTGCTGCTCAAGCAGTACCTCGTACAGGTATGCAGCAGCATCAAACGACCTTCCTCCATCATCGTACAAGAAAACAAGAATGCTACTCTTTCCCTGTTCTCCAATGAATCCCACAAGTTTCTAGAAGCACCAATAAAATAATTTGCTGCAGCAATGTGGTTTAACTATTTTGTTATAAGGGTGGGGTTCCATGCTCCAGGAAATTTCTCAAAAACAACTTCCCAGCTTTTTTATTTCCATGTCATAATTTTGGTTTGCCCTAAATTGAGTGCACATGCCACAGCTCAGCAATTCTTCTTTGCTGATCATTTCCTATGTTATTGATGAAATACTTAAATTTGGTAAAGTTGTTTTTTCTGGAAGAAGAGGACATAATCTTAATTCCAGTTTCAAGAAAGCTTTTATTCATTTGAATGGTGGAGGAAGCAATTGCTATAGTGTTTTTCATACTATATCCTACTACAAGAGTCTCCACTAGTGGCATCAAATAGAGTTTGAAGTTCTCCATATAGATCCATAAAGGTTCAGAGAAGTTTTTTGGATTTCAATATTTATATTCACTTTTCTTTATGATGAGCTTGCTTCAAAATTTCTCCTCTAGGTTCAATAGAAATACTAGAGTGGCATTTGCATATTTCAAAGTAAGTAGTTATGGCTTTAAAACATTTGGCATCCAGGGATATATGGTGAACAATTAGTGATGTATTTGGAGTGGCTTCATACACTATGCAAGCTTGTTTATACTGTTTCAAATATCCATTACTTGAGTATGAAGGACTAATGATCCATTGACCGGATGAAGAGGGAATTAATGAAGTTACAATAGGATTTCAAAGATTGTGTAGATTCCCAAACTGTTATGGTATAATGGATTGCATTTACATTGTAATCGAGCTCTCAGGATATAGGATGCAATAAATTGGTATGCTAAGGCAAAAAAGTACTACTTGATGGTAGTTCAAGCCATGGTAAATAGTAAGACTTCATTCCCACCATTGTATCTCTCTCTATATTTATTTACACTTTTATCTGTAGCCACAAATGAAGTTTGGTGGTGTCGATTATCAATTGCCTTTATTTTTTCCATCATTTATATATTGCTATCTTGAAGTTTTTGCATCATTACTTTCTTTTGCTCATCACTTCACTCAAGAAGACTATCAAATCACTTTGGAGTGCATTTGTTTTATTTCCCTATAGCTATTGAAACTTTTTTTTTTGCCAACTTATACTTCTGAAATGTCCTTCTTAACATCTTTAGGATCTTGTATCTCAAATATAGCATTTGCATCTGGATCTGTAGCTGTGTTTGTCTCTAGGAAAAAGAGAAATAAAAAGTCAATCAATAAATCTAAATGAACTTATTATAGTTTGGTGCAATTGTGGAACCCATAGATGTATTAACTCGGTGGCTACTTAAAATATTAACTCTCAACTGTGTCATCCATAACATTATAGAGGCCTTCATTAATGTATAAAGAAGCTTTATATCCTTTTTCATCCTTGTAGTAAACTCACTACTAAAATATGATGGTTTCCCTTATAGGATATTGTACTTGTAATTAAAATAGAAAAATAATTGGAAAAAAATGCATAGTTTAAGGAATTGAAGCTAGCTTGCATTGCAAAAATACTTGGAATAAATTCAATCATTGGATTGCATGTAGGAATGCTGCGCTAAAAACCATTGCAAATTTTGCTAAACAAAAGACTAAAACCAAAGAGAAAATGAAAAGTATCTAGATCATGGCTACATTTGGCATAGATTCCAGAATAACATTACACAAAGAGCCCTTTCCTCCCTGAACATTAAGAAAAATAAACAAAACTTTAGAATTACAAAATTTAATACTTACATGAATTTAACCTATTAGTGAACTAAAAAAAAAGCTAAATTGTGACTATGGATGAGGTGAAGGTGAGTGATTCTTCATTTCTTGCAAACTTCCTTCTCAAATTGTTGCAAAAATCCTTCCTAAGGCCCTCCAAGAACTCACATATTCATATGGTGGCAAATTAGAGTAAATAAAATTTTTAAATGATGTGGTAATTTAACCATATGTCATTATTTTATTTGTGTATTTTACTAGGTTTCAAGCTCTAGGAGAAATTTAAAGGGGCCCCCTTGGGTATTATGTCATTAAGCAGAGGCATGGAATCTAGGGTTTAATTTCTCCCCCATGGAAAATTTCCCCCCAAGGTGAAACATAGACCCCACCCTAATGCCCCATTTCAACAACTTGTGGGCCTTGGGCTATGGCTACTTCACTAAATGCTAGACAATACAACTGTCATTTGACAAATTTTGCATATCAAATACATGTTGTGAAGGAATGCTATTTAGCATGCCCTAGCTTCCATAACAAGCAAGCATGAAGCAATGACCAAGAATAGCTTGATAAATACCAAGGATCAATACTTTGATCTAATTAAAGAGCTTCATAACACCTTCTAAGTCAAGAAAATTAACTATTCTTTTGATTGTGTTGTCTAAGTTGAAGTTCTATTTTGATTGATGTGGCTTGATCTAAGGTGTGACATGAAAAAATTTACATTAAAGGACAATAGATATCTTGAGGAATTTGGGAATACCATTGGAAATAGTTGAAGGTATCTACTACTTAGAAAGGGGTAAATAACGAACTCATCTTTATTAGCCTACATAGAGAACAACTTAAAAGACGGTCCATAGGGTTCAAATATAAAAGGAAAGGGCCCATGAATAAAAGTGCACCCGCTTTTCTAATCAGTCAAGGGTTTTGGGATACTTAAGGTTAATTATCCTTGGGTTTGAATAGTACTACGCTGGGTGACCTCTTGGGAAGTTCAGACTCAAGAGCTTACATTTGGTATTAGAGGGGTCTTGGGTCCAACTTTATTGGTTGACTAAGGGAATCACACCATATATTGATTGACATTTGGTTGGTCCAATTTGCTCTCGAGGGGTGGGTCTGATTCTGTTGGTTGGTTAGGGGAATCACACCACATATTAATTGACATCTAGTTGACTAAGGGAATCACACCACATATTGATTGACATTTGGCTAGTCCAGTTTGCTCCCGAAGGGTGGGTCTGACTCTGTTGGTTGGCTAGGGGAATCACACCATATATTGATTGACATCTGGCTGGTCCAATTTGCTCCTGCTGGGCTCGACCCGAGGACATTTGGTTGGTCCAGTTTGCTCCTATTGGGCTCGACCCGAGGGGTAGGGTGTCAGGAGAGCAGGGCTCTCCTGTCTGTTGGTTGGCTAGGGGAATCACACCACATATTGATTGACATTTGGCTAGTCTAGTTTGCTCCTGAGGGGCAGGTCTGACTCTATTAGTTGGCTAGGGGAATCACACCACATATTGATTGACATCTGACTGGTCCAATTTGCTCCCGCTAGGCTCAACTCAAGGGGTAGGGTGTTAAGAGAGCAGGGCTCTCAGGAGAGTTGCGGCTCTTAGCTTCTGTTCACGAGGGCGTGAATTTGTAGAGAAGTGTGGTGGATTGTAAGCAACCAAAGAGAATGACTTGAGAGACAGTTTATAGGGTTCAAATATAGAGGGAAAGGGCTTATGAATAAAAATGCACCTCATTTTTCAATCGGTTAAAGGTTTTAGGTTTCTACCCTAAACCCCAAGTAGCCTTGGGTTTGAATAGTACTAGGTTAAGTGACCTCCCGGGAAGTCCAGACTTAGGAGCTTACATGGATATTTTGTTATATAGCTAGTTGCATGGCAAGCTCTACCAAGAACACAGAAGCACAAAGTTAGTAAAAGTGTTAGTGATCTAGATATAGATCTAAGGACCCAATAAGCTTTTTTGCTATGCATATACACAATTCCTAGCCATCAGTCTCCCCACAGCAAGATTAGGAAACTTTACTACACTAGTCATGGTTCTTTGTCAAGGATAGTGCTTATAGCCTTGGGAATTGACACTGTTGGAGGTGACTATAGTGGTTCCAAGTGGCAGGCAAGGGTCAAAACGGTGTTTGTGTAATTGGAAGGTAAAATTTCTTTATAAAGTGAGCAAAACTAAAACTAAAACTGAACTATTAGTGAATTTTGGCACCTTTGTAGTGGCAATGTTTGTGCTTTACCTTTCATTTCTAAACCTTTAGGTGGCCAAATGTAGTATGAGTTCCATTGATTAGGGTGATGATTCAATTGATTTGATAGTGTTAGTGTTAGTGCTAGTTGGGATGGCAAGTAATAGTTCCTTGTCGAGTTTGGTGGCAAAGGCAATTGTTAGTGTTTATATCATTTCTATCACCCTTAGTGGGTCAATGAGTCATGATTAAGGTGGTAACTATATTGTAACCAATAGTGGAGGGTTGGGAGAAATTGAAGGGTGTAGGGATCACTATGGTAGAGTTAGTTATGGTGTAATCATCGAGATATGTAAGTATAGTTTTTTTTTTTCCTTTTGAAGCTAATTGCACTATTTTTCCAGTGGTGGCAGTGTCATTGGAGTTAGAATGATTTATAAGGAAAGAATATATGAACTATAAGAGTTGTTTTTGTTATTTTCTTATTTTCTCATAAACTTTTTTTATAGGAAGCCTAGTTATAAAGGTACTATTGGCACTACCCTCTAATTTTGTTTTTGTAAGTGTTAGAATATGAATTGTTAGAGGTTTTATTAGATTGTTTTGCTTTCTTATAAAACTTCTTTTACATGAGCAAGGCTATTAGTATTGGTGGCATTGGCACTATTTACCATAAAGATATATAGATGTGGTTTTTTCATCTAAGATATGTAAGTGTTGTTTTTTTTTTTTTCCAAAGCCAATTGTGTTGTTCTTCTTCTAGTGGTAGTAGTAGCAAAGTGGCTTATAACAAAAGAATGCATGAACTATAAAACTTTTTTTTAATATTGTTTTGCTTTCTTATAAACTTCTCTTATAGTGCACTTGAAAGCTTTTTTGAAAAGGAGACCTTATAAAATGCACTATTTAGTAGTCATTTTGCCACTTCGAGTGAAATCTTTAATGTTTTTGATACTTTAGAGTTCATTAAATAATATGTTTATCAAAGTTCAAACCTTGTAGTGCTAGCACTCACTTCCAAAGTTACCAACATAATTGGCAAAAATAATAAGGTTATAAAAATCATAAAGGAAAAGTTTAAGAGTTATTGTATAGGTAA